CCCGGGAGCCTGCCCGGCACAGCTCCGGGAGCTGCTGAAGGACAGGGCTACCTGCGAGGAGCCGGGCCTGGCTTACGGTGTCACCGGGATCACAGGAAGAGCTCAGGGATGGATGATGTGGGAGGAACTGGGTGTCACGGGGATGTTGAGTCATGTAGGGTGGGCTTTCTCTACGGGGTTTGAAGCTGCCAGGCAGTCATCTCCCGCAGGAAGCTGTGACACGGCTGATGTCCTGAGCCTGGCAGAGCACCCTGGAGCAGGGCCAGCACCTGCCGCAGGTCCTCAGCACCTGTAGCCAACTCCTTGTGCTGCTCTGGGCAGCACTGTGGGCTGCTGGTCCTTAGAGTCCTTTTCCTGGGGAAGCTGCCCCAAAGTTTGGGAACCCGAGCTCAGTGGAGCAGCTTTCACAGCCAGTGATTGAAGTCACTGAAGGTGACACGAAGCCAGCTGGCAGGTGGACAGCCGGTGAGATTATACTTATGTTTATCCCATTATGGGGATACATAAAGGCCGTTGAGCTCAGGGCCCTGCACGTTCGGCCCAGCACAGAGCAGGGAACAACTGAGGAGTGGAAGTCTGAGCCTAGATGAAGAGCTCCCGCCAGGGCAGGGCAGCTGCAGGTTCTGGTGATTTCCCTGCATGGTGCTCAGTGTTCCTCACAGCACAGTGGGGGGTACAGGAGGCAATTCTTGCTTAGGCAAGGTGAGAGCTGGACTTGTTTTGCTAGACACACATAAAAACTCTGAGTGGGGAACCCAGGAGGCCACCAAGCTGTGGTAGGAGCTGTCACCTTGTGAAGAAATTATGTTACATGTGTTTGTGTGAAGAATGAAAACATCCCAGCCACATTTCCCTGTGAATGGGAAGGCTGAATTTCATGGCATAAACAAACGTTAAGAAACTGCTGCCTGGTATCTCTTGGCTTTTCCTCTGAAGCCTCTCAGCTTTTCCACTCTCAAAGAAAGGAGGTGGATGAGGGTTCTGCAGGCTCAGGGCTCTGTAGCTTCTGCCTACTGCTCATGAGCAGCCTCTTTTGGGGTTAGATGTGTTTTTCCCACCTTCCCCATGGTGGTGGCACTTGTCTGTCCCTGCCTGGCTCACCCATGCTACAATCCTGACAATCCCAACTGCCTTCCTGTCCCCCAAGTCCCTCGACTGCCCCAGGAGCTTGGTACTCCTTTTGCATAACCAGCAAAGCTTATTCTAAATCCTCCTAAGCCAGCCTGGGTGGTGGTGGTGGGCAGCTGGAGGGTGACAAGGAGCTCCAAGGAGTAAAGCCCATGTCCAGCCAGAGTTTTCCTCAGGACAGATGTCAAGTGTGGGACAGGGGTATAGGTCTGCATGCACTTGCATGCCACGAGGAAAGGGAGGAGCCTCCATTCCTCCACATGTGGGGTGACATTTGCTCCCCCAGATCCTTGGCCTTGCTCTGCCTCAAGAGCTGGTGCATAATTCCTCCTCTCTGCACACATATGCTTGATGTGTCCCAGCCGAGCAGTGGGGCACATGTGGGCAGGCACATGTGGTGTCCCCAGCACCTGTCTCTCCATGATGTGTTGGACTCTACCTCTGACCCTAGGTTTGCTCTCTAACCCACTCTCTCCACTCCTGCCTGCCCCACTCTGTCTCCCATGCTCCTTACCTGCAGGTTTTATTGGGATCTCATAATGCTGTTCCTGATGGTGGGGAATTTGATCATCCTGCCTGTGGGCATCACCTTCTTCAAGGATGAAAACACCCCACCCTGGATCGTTTTCAACGTGCTTTCGGACACTTTCTTCTTGGCTGATCTGGTGCTGAACTTCCGGACAGGCATCGTGGTGGAGGACAACACAGAGATCATCCTTGACCCTCACACCATCAAAATGAAGTACTTGAAGAGCTGGTTCCTGGTTGACTTTATTTCCTCCATCCCAGTTGATTACATCTTCCTCATCGTTGACCTGGAGACCCAGGTGGATTCTGATGTCTACAAGACAGCTCGGGCCTTGCGCATCGTCCGCTTCACCAAGATCCTTAGCCTGCTGCGCCTGCTGCGCCTCTCACGCCTCATCCGCTACATCCACCAATGGGAGGAGGTGAGAAACCTTTGGGCTGGGGGCCCCAGGCCCCTGGTTGGGGTCTCAGGTCAGATCAGGTCCTTGGTTGTGGGGTACAGCTGGCCAGACTGCAAGGACTCCACTCCTGCCTCTTCCCCAGATCTTCCATATGACATATGACCTGGCCAGTGCTGTAGTGAGGATCTTCAACCTCATTGGCATGATGCTGCTGCTGTGTCACTGGGATGGCTGCCTCCAGTTCCTGGTGCCCATGTTGCAAGACTTCCCAGAGGACTGCTGGGTCTACATCAACCACATGGTGGTGAGTGCCCTGGGCAGGGGTGACACAGGGAGGAGAGGATTTGGTTAAACATCTTGTACTCTAAGGCTGGAGCTGCCTGGATCCATGTGCTGCTGAGCAACATCTCTCTGGTCATAGCCCTGCAACAGCAGTGAGATGGGGTAGAGGGAATCTCTGCATCACCTTCCCATCTCCAATTGCTGCTGGAACTGGAGCAGCTAGGGGAATCTCTCATGCCAGGAGGGAATGAAGCAGTGGGGCTTCTGCCTCCTCCCCAGAGCAGGAGGTCAAGGCTTCGCACAATCCCCAGTGCCTCCTCCCAGAGCAGAGCTCTGCCCTCTGGGCTTGGACACAGCAGAAACCTTTTCTTCACCCGGGCTCTGGACTTGGAGGGGGGGTACTGGAGAGCTCAGCCCAGCAGCTCCTTCCAACAGACCCCCGAGTGCTGCTGTTCCCTTGTCCACAGAACGACTCCTGGGGGAAGCAGTACTCGCACGCCCTCTTCAAGGCCATGAGCCACATGCTGTGCATTGGCTATGGGCAGCAGGCACCCAAGGGCATGACCGACGTCTGGCTCACCATGCTGAGCATGATTGTGGGGGCCACCTGCTATGCCATGTTCATCGGCCACGCCACTGCCCTCATCCAGTCCCTGGACTCGTCCCGGCGCCAGTACCAGGAGAAGGTCAGCAGGTGGTGTAGTGGGTGCCTGAGTACTGGGGGAAGGTGCCCTGGCACGAGTGGGTCTAGCTTCAGACCCAGCTCCATGAGTGCTACCCTGCCCTGCTGATTCCTGCCCCCATCTCTGCCCTTGCCACTCAGCTTGGGGTGTGGAGAGGGGTCAGGCTGGCCATTTGGGTGGAGATGTTCTATTCATGATGTTTGGGTTCACCTTGGCATAGTGAGGTGCCATCCTGGCCTCTGCCCTAGGACTCTGAGCACATGGTGGTCCTATCCTCTGCCCCAAAGGTGACACAGCTCTGGAGCAGGAGTGTCTGGATCCTAGCTCCAGCAGCAGTTGCTTCCACTGCTGAGGAGAAGAAAAGCATTGGCCAGCCGTGCCTCTGGCCTCTGATGCAGTGCATCTCACTTCAACGCAGCCCTGTGTGGCTCTGCCTTGTTCCCACAGTACAAGCAAGTGGAGCAGTACATGTCATTCCACAAGCTGCCTGGGGACACACGCCAGCGGATCCACGAGTACTATGAGCACCGCTACCAGGGCAAGATGTTTGACGAGGAGAACATCCTGGGGGAGCTCAGCGAGCCACTCAAAGAGGTACAGGCTGGCACCCCAGTGCTGGTGACCTGAGGGAGAGGGGCCAGTGCTTGCTGGGGTGAGGCTCAGTGATGTCTCTGTTGACCTGCTTCTCACCCCACAGGAAATCATCAACTTCAACTGCCGCAACCTGGTGGCCAACATGCCTCTGTTTGCCAACGCAGACCCCAACTTTGTGACCGCCATGCTGACCAAGCTGCGCTTTGAGGTCTTCCAGCCTGGGGACTTCATCATCCGTGAGGGCACTGTGGGCAAAAAGATGTACTTCATCCAGCATGGGGTGGTCAGCATCCTCACCAAAGGCAACAAGGAGACAAAGCTGTCTGATGGCTCCTACTTCGGGGGTGAGGCTGAGCTGGGGGAGCTGGAGAGCACAGAACAGTGTGAGCTGTCATGGGGCTGAAGTTGATGTTTCTGCCTGCTGCACCCTCTGCCCATCTCCTCTTGTCCAGTGCCAAAGACTTTGCATCCACCTCACAGCAGGGTCTGGGGCTCAGAAGACCACCACCCTTGTTCTTATGGGGCACCTTGTCCAGCAGATTTAGTCAGAGGGGCCAACAGCCAGAGCCCTGAATTCTGGCTGGCTCTGGCCGGAGGGAAGGGTGGTTTAGAGCAGAATGCCTGAGCCAGGCTATGGGGGCAGGTTTGGGAGAGCAGGGGGACTGGGCAACCACAGCAGCCGTGCCCAGGGGTGTCTGCATGGCCTGGGGAGGAAGGAAAAGGCTGAGGGCACAGCCACAGCTGCCTGGATTCCTGGGTCTGTCCCTCCTCCTGAATCATGCTCAGTTCCTGTGCAGGATGTGGGAGTGCCAGGCAGTCCTGTCCCCACTCCAGCTCCCGTTATCTGGGGAGGCTGTTTGGAATGGGTTGCATGGCTGTATCATTCCGACATACAAACCTGTCTCCCTGCAGAAATCTGCCTGCTGACACGGGGCAGGCGAACAGCCAGCGTGCGAGCTGACACCTACTGCCGCCTCTACTCCTTGTCGGTGGATAATTTCAACGAGGTGCTGGAGGAGTATCCCATGATGCGCCGGGCCTTCGAAACAGTGGCCATGGACCGGCTGGACCGCCTAGGTGAGGAGTAGCCCTGTGCCCAGCTCAGCTCCTTTTGTGCCTGCTCCTGTGGCCATGGCACCCCAACCCCATAGATGACAGCATCATGGACCCCATGGATGATGGCATCTTTAGCCCCATGAGTGATGGCATAATGGACCCTGTGTATTATGGCACCCGAGCCCCATGGGTGCTCAGCAATGAGGGTGCAGGGAAAGACAGGGAGGGAGGGAGCCTCCAGAATCCCTGTCCTCCCAGGCAAGATCCAGGCAATGACAAGCTTCCCAGGGGAGCCATCACACTTCCCCCTCCCCCTATTTGCACTGTCTGGCCTTGACCAGGTGCTTGTCCTCAACCCCCCTAGTCTATGGAGGACAAGCAGGACCCCAGCTCCCAGCCCCCAGCCTGGAACCTTTGGAGCCAGGATTCCCCTGTTTTCTACATGCTTCTCCCTCTGTCCCAGCCCAGACCCTCCCCAGAGTATTGCTTCCCTTCAGCTCACTGGTGAGGTTTCATTGTCCTTTCCCCACTGCCACTCTGCCCTCCAGTGTCCCCAAGAGCCAGCATTCCCAGGGTTGGTGACACTGCTCTCTCTCATCCAGGGAAGAAGAACTCTATCTTGCTCCGCAAGCGAGCTGAGCACAGCACAGGGCCCATGAACAATGAGATGATCCAGCAGATCGTGAAGCACGACCAGGACATGGCCCACAACATCCAGGACCTGCAGCAGATGGCGATGGGCCGGGAGCTGAGTGGCAAGCCGGTGATCTGGGAGCCACTGGTGCATGCGCCCCGGGGCCCCCCCCCCCCAATGTGGCCATTCCCCTGCCCCATCAGCACAGCCTGCAGGCCCACATCTTCCTGCCACCCTCCTCCATCTCCAGCCCGCTCTCCCCTGAGGCCACACTGCTCACCAGGCAGGTGCGCAGGTCCCAGCCCAGCCTGGGGGGCTCCCGGCCCTCCTCTGTCAGCTCCCCATCAGGGGCACCGTCCCACCTCCAGACACCTGCTGCCGCTTCGCCGTCTTCCCCCATGGTGCAGTCCCAGGCGCCCCTGGAGACTGGGGCCCAGAGACCCAGCCATGGGGCACAGGTCCTGCTGCGCACAGCACCCAAGGGGGACCTGCCCC